TGGCGTTCTCCGTAGGCACATTCTGTATAAGCAGTTTCCTAGGGCTGCCTTAACAACTGAAGTCGTCTGAACTGGGCCATCTAAGACAACTCTAAAACATAGTCTTGCACAGCCTAGAGGCTAGAAGTCTGAAATCAAGAGGCCCACGCAAGCACACTCCCTCTGAGACTCTGGGTCTCAAAGATCTTCCTTGCCTCTTCCTAGTTTCTAGTGGTGGCTGTCGATTTTTGGCATTCTTTAGATTGTAGCTGCATTCCTGAGCTTGCCGCCACCTAACTGTGCTCTCTGTTTTCATCTTAACATACTGCTCGTCCTTTCCATTTTTCTAACATCTTCTTATAAGGGTGGCAGTCATGTCGGATTAGGGGCCCACTCAACTCCAGCAGGTCCTCGTCTTAGCCAATTTACATCTGGCCCTATTTTTTATTTTTATTTTTGAGAAGTTTTCGTTATAGGGTGTGTGCGCTCGCCAGACAGACAGAGAGAGACACAGAGACAGAAAGTGAGAAATCACCCCCCAGGGGGATGGTCACACTGCAATCCCTTCTCCTCCATTCTCCTCTTGGGATTTTGGGCACACACACACACACACACACCTGGCGTGAGTTTTAAGCCACCGGGTCTGGGACGTGAACCGCGATCGACTACATGGGAGTCCAGCGACATAGCCATTACGCTAACTGCTGGTTCCCCATCTGGCCCTATTTTAAAATAAGGTCACATTCTGAGGTACCTGGGGTTAGGATTTTGATATCTTTTTAGAGACACAATTCGATATATAAAACCCTACAAATGGCCTGTTTCACACAGTGCATGCCTACGGCCTTACAGCTAGCTGGACCCAGCGGATTCCAGTGTGTTCATGCAGTTTCGTGTGATCAGTTTTGGGGGCTCCTTACTTCTGATTCCAGACCGTGCCTTAGCTATCAAAGAAGGCAACATCCTAATACCTTAAAAAAGAACCTCTGTACTTAGCTAATTCTAATTCGTCCTTCATTTTAAGGGTTATCTCCTTAAAACAACAAGCCCTGGGGCCGGTAGGTGATGGTTGAGGCACTAGACTCCCATACGACAAACCGCAGTTCAAGTCCTGGACCTGGCAGCTTGAAAAATCATACTAGGCATGTGTGCATATGTACCCCAAATCAGAAGGCAATTTTAAACAAAAGGAGACTGAGGCATGACCATTTCCCTGATTCTCACTTTCTCTCTATCTAGTGCATGCTCCCTTATGGCAAAAACAAAACCAAAAAATTTAAAAATAACCATAGAAACAAAACAAAACATCAAGTCAAAATATAATCACTGTATTATATTTTGCTTTGGTTGAGGACGTAAATAAGACAATCTACAGACCATACTTATCTGGGGTTAGAAACTGGCATGAGGGTACAAAGGCATACTTTCTACCTACGCTGGGATACCTGAGAAAACCACAATTCCTTCCCTTCGATTTCTCTGTCCTATTGGGATTTGGGACTGACACACATGCCCACCTGCCCAGTGCGTTTTCCAAGCTGCTGGGGTCAGGGTTCAAACGGCAGTCAACTATATGGGATCTAGCTCCTGTAAATACTGGGCTATGTGGCTAGCCCAATAAAATGGTAATTTTAATGTCAATTTTTATTGATCCATTGCTTAATTCATTCATTTGTTGAGTGTTCATTCATAGAAAAAAATGTGAATATTTATATATTAACTTTGTATCCTGTAATCTTCTTGTAAAAAAGAATTATTTTATTTAACTTTATTTATTTATTTATTTTAATTTGACCAGAGAGGGATAGAGTAAGTGACAGAGAGAAAGAGAGTGTGAGAAAGCAAGCCACCAGGTCTGAGACTTGAACCGCAGTTGGCCATGTGAGAGTCGAATGCCCTTAACCACCACACCACCTGCTGGCCCCCCTGCAGTTTTGGTTATTAGTTCCAGGAAAGTTTTTTCTTTGTTTCAGTCAGTTATTTTTGGATATTCTTTTTTTTCTTTTTTTGTTTTGAGAGAGATTTTTTGCAATAGGGTATGTGTGATCACCAGAGAGATAAGCAAAAAATCACCCCCCAGGAAGAATGACCATGACACAATCCCTTCTCCTCCATTCTCCTCTCTGGATTTTGGGCATATGCACATGCACCTGGTGTGAGTTTTAAGTCATGAGGTCTGAGACTTGAACCACAGTCAACTTTGTGTGAGGCCAGCAATGTAACCATTTCACCATCTACTGGTCCCTATTTTGGGTATTCTATATAGATGTCATCTGCAAACAAAAACTGTTTATTTCCTCTTTCTCAATCAGAATACCTTTTATTTCTTTTTTCTGTCCTATGATATTAGCCACTTCCAGTATTATGTTAAAAAACAGTGGTAAGGGGACCAGCAGATGGCATAGCGGTTATGTTGCTGGACTCCCAAATGGCCAACTGTGGTTTGAGTCCTGGGTCCAGTGGCTTGAAAAACACTTTGGGGGTGTGTGCATGCATGCCCAAGATCCCAGGAAGAAAATGAAGGAGATGGGATTGTGGCATAGCCATCTTCTCTAGGGATGATTCCTCATTTGTCCTCTCACTGTCTCTGTCTCTGTCTCTCTTCAGTGAGTATATGCACCCTAGGGCAAAAACCTTTAAAAAAATAGTGGTAAGAGGAGAGACATTGTTTGGTTCCTGATATTTAGTGGGGAAGTTTAAAATATCTCACCATTAAGTATATTAGTTGTAGATTTTTGTAGATATTCCTACAAACTGTGTTTCATACTTAGGTATTATATATTGGGTCATTTGAAAAGTCATGACACATCTTAGCATAGAAAATAAGAAAAAATACATCATGACTTTTCTGACAAATTGTAAGTTCTCCTCTATAGCTAGTTTACTGAGAAGTTTAATCATAAATGCATGTTAAATATCATCAAATACTTTTTCTATAACAGCAGACCTCTCATCAGAAACAATGTGAGCAAGGAAAGAATGGGAAAATATATTCAAAGTATTAAGGGAAAAGCAATCACAACAGAGAATACTGTACCCAGCAAGATTATCCTTCATATGGGAAGAAAAGACAAGAACATTCTCAGATAAACAAAACCTGAAAGAATTTACCAGCACCAGACCAGATCTCCAAGAAGTTCTCAAGGGAGTGCTACATCAGGAAGA